AGGAGGAGGAGGAGGAGAGAGGAGGAGATCTTTGTTTCTCTTTATTGTGACAGACAGAGGAGGAGGAGAGGAGGAGGAGAGAGGAGGAGGAGGAGGAGATCTTTGAGTTACCTCCATCAGAGCAGCTCAGTCTCCAGGACTGATCATTATCTCCAAACAAACATTCATCTCTGTCTCCTCTCCTTCTGACTCCTCTGTAACTCACTGATACAGAAACATCTCCTCTCCACTCGACCTCCCAGTAACAGCGGCCAGTCAGACCAGTCCTACACAGCAGCTGAGGATAGTAATCAAATCTGTCTGGATGATCAGGATATGACTGAAGCTTCTCCACATATGTCACCTTCCTGTTGTTGTCAGACAGTTTGAGGATTCTGTTCACTGTGTTTGTGTCCAGTTCCAGCTCACAGGCGTCTGATGGAGAGAACGAGACACAACACAGCTGCAGGTTATCATCTGTTCATTCATCAACAACTATATATATATATAATATATATATATATATATATATATATATATTTGTATCTGTTTCTATTCCTGTAGTGTGTGTTCTTCTTCCTGCATTTCTTTCTTTGTGTGTACATGTGTATATTTGTCTATATTTTTCTATTATTGTACAAAACGTTCTATTTATTGCATATCAGAATGTAGCCAAATTCTTTTTGATGTTTTTTCTTGCTAGAACACAGGAAATGGTAAGTATAATAATGCTTTAGAACAACACTGAAACTGTTACTTGGAGCCTGCATGAACGGGGCACAAGTAACTTTCAATGTCTGCCGTTAAGCAAGTGTACATGTTGTCTCACTAATGAATTGAACTTAGAGCCTGAAAAGACTGAAAAGACTCCTTTTTTCAGAGAAACCCACCGATTACATCGATGATTATCAGTTGGAGCCTGCATGAACGGGGCCCAACTTTTCCATTAAAAATCTGCTGGGATGCTACTCCAAGACAAACTTATAAAAAAATACAAAAAATATCATTCTCAAAATTGTACATAGAGCCTTTACAGAGAAACCTCACCTCACCACTACTTAAAGCCAATGTCAGATAAAAAGTGAACACATGAATGACTGGTCAATGTCTTTGAGAGTCTGCATGAACTAAGATGATGTTCATCTATTAATCATGTTCAGTGGGAGATTACAAAATGTTAAAATGTATGAAAATGTTACTGTTACCTTGTTGTTGTAAGATACATGAATATGTGGAGTTCATAGTTAAAGGTTTGGAGTTAGGGGGGGGGGGTATTTTTGACATACTCTTGCTGTATTTCCTGATTTACTTTGTTGTTAATTTTATCCCCTTTGCTTACCCTCAGGTTCAGTAACTGTACATATGTTTTCTCTTCGTTGTTTTATAGTTTCTTGTACGTTTGTCGTGTTATATGTTCCTACTCTTAGCCTGCACCTTGTCGTGGTGAGTGGGCTTTCAACCAAGACAGGCCGTACTAAATGTTTAAAACCAGTGTTATTAACTTATTTTCTCTCTCATGTAGTACGATGTAGGACACTAGGGAGTGTCATGGCTGTCTTTCTGTGGGCGCGATGATCCAATTAACACTCTGTGGCTGAAAGATTGCTGTTCATTCCATCTAACTCCTCAGACGTGCACACCTACTCTCCATCAACTCATCAACTCAACAGTATATATACCCCGGCTCTCAATCCACTCGCCAGATCGTTCTTTCAGCTACGGTAGAATACGGTTCAGGCGTAGTTTTTGATAGACTTTTAAATACTTTCTTGTGCGAGTTTTGTTCTGATATTCATCCTGTTTTTCTTTTACTTTAGGTTCACCCACCTGCCTTCTTGGATTCAAAGCCTCTCAATCAACCAGGCTCACATCGCAACTCTGCTCTGATCAGCCGTCTCCCTTTCACTCTGCAGACCTTGTGAATCATCGTCTCATCTCCCTTCCTCTGCAATAAACCTCATTACAAGTCAACCTGTTTTCTTATGAATTCCATATTATTCCTCATATATATTCCATATTGTTTTTGTTTGCCAATATAGTTTATAAGTTAGGAATGTCTCAGAAGATATGAGTGGACGCTCCTGCTAGTTCCCATTTCTTAACCTCTTAAAACTGTAATCCATTGGTTCTTTTTGATATATTATATAAATATAAATGATCTGCTTTTTAATACTTCCCTTAATTGTTAACATTAAAATTCTTCTATATTCGATGATAAAGCACATCATTTGTATAGTTTAGATGGGTAAACTAGACGATATTATGTGATATTGATCTAGGAAGACCACATTTCTGAATGATTTTTAAACATTTTTCTAATCACACGTAATTAATGTAATTTACTCTGGTTGAATCTTGATTTTGATTGTTTTAAATTTGTATATGGGACTTCTTGTGGCAGATATTGGAACAGAAAGAGCAGAAATCTCTCCACTTTACATTATTAGAGATAAAGGAAGGGTTTTTGTATCTAAAGCAAGTATCAAAAGGCATGCGCTTTACAAAAATGAAGAATACAATTCATGCATCCATGTTATCCTAAATTATTTTCATGTCGTCAGAAATAAACTAGGGACTGACAAGCCCCTTATTGGTGCCATAGATAACAGGACCACATGCAAAATATTCACAAATATTTAAAAGGGTTGGTCTGGTGTAAACCTCCTTGTGACATGATATGTTGTCAATGTTCCACATTTTAAAGAGCGATTGATTTTCCTGTATACATTTTTAGTAAGAGAATACAGTATTTTATAAATTCCTGCCTGTTTATATATGTCTCTAAATACTTACACATACACATATATATACAAGCACTTACTCACATACATATACCCATCCTCACACATACATGAATACACACACTCAAAGTGCATATACAGTATATACATACAAACGCAAGTGCCGACCATATACTGTGGTCTGAGATATGCCGACTCCCTATACTGCAAGTCAGAGTATTGTCCACCCAAGGCTTGCTCACCAAGAAGTAGTCCAATCTGGAGTGTGAATTGTGGGGTATTGAATAGAAAGTGTAATCTTTCTCTGTCGGATGTGTTAATCTCCATATATCCACTAATGCTTGGTCTTTCATCAGAGTATTCAAAGCTTTTTCAGCTTTATTTCTACTTTTGCTTGGAGCAGAGGGCGATTTATCAATAACTTTATCCAATACAATGTTAAAATCCCCCCCATCACGATAGGGATATCTCCCAGCGCTGAGATGTGGTTATTAATTTCATGGAACACAGTACCATCAGAATTGGGGGGCGCATAAATATTAATAAATGCCATTTGGATGTTGTTAAGAGAACCAACAGTAATGGCATACCTCCCATAAGCGTCACTTATATTTTGTGTGATGATAAAGTTAAGTTTTTTGTGAAAAAGAGTTACCACCCCTCTACTTTTGGTATCATATGTGCTGGATGACACTTGGCCAACCCATTCCCTTCTCAGTTTCATAGCTTCTTGTTGGAGAATATGAGTTTCCTGCAGAAATAATATTTGACAATTTTTACTTTTAGCGTTCTTTTCTTTTAATAGGCTGGTTTATCCGATCTCTGACGTTTCAAGTCATGAGATGTATTGTACTATCTCTACTCATTACTAGATGTGCATTGTATTTATCAACTTTTGACCGCCCTTTAACAGAAAAGATACACACAAAAAAAAACATAAAATATTTACATACACATGAACATGCTCCCTCCCTCCCTCCCCTGCATCTCAACCCCATGCTTTGAGAGCAATACCCTAAGTAATTTGGTGATGGCATTAGACGCTCAACACCAAAGACTCCCGTTGGACCCCCTCTATATTCAGAGTAGTTTACTGTCAGGGAACTGAGTTTTTATTCCTAATAATAGAAAGAGGAGCCTCATTTTACAAGTAAAATACTTTATAGTAGCCACAGTAATTATTGCAACATAAGAACTCAACAACATTAGGCAACTCCTATTCGGGCCTGTAATGTATGTTAGTATAGAATCAATCTATTTAAATATTTGAAATAATGGTCTACAGGTATATCTGGCAAAGTCAAAACAAACTAAGACACACCTCCAAAAAAAAAGAAACAAACCAACAGAACAAAAAACAAAAAACAAAAAGGAAGTTACTCCTGATACTTTAGATAGCAAATATTTTACAGTCAGGAGTGGCAACCTGTAGTCATTTGTTAGAGAATGACCAAGTGTTGTCTTGAACAAATATGAAAAAGGCCCAGTTGGCAGATTTAGGCTACTTTAGTGAAGGCTAGATGCACCTTAATATCTGCACCCAAACAGAAACAAATTTATCCCCAACTCGTTGTAAGTGTTCCGTTTTGTTAACGAGGCTCTCAGTCAGTTTGTTTAGAAAGTACTTGCAGAACTTGAAGCAGAGCATCCGGTTTACTTCAGTTCTTACGATGCTGTCTCTGGTTCCTTGAACGTTGCGTTGCCCATTTTTCGTTTTGCGGTAAACACCTGCGCCGGGTGCGCCTGCAGCTGGTCTCCGTTGATGATACCCCTCTGGATGAGAGCCCGCCTTGCTTCGTTGGCAGTGGCGTAAGTTTGGATGCCATCTTCAAAAATGACCTTCAGCTTAGATGGATATATAACATGGGATTTCACCTGTTTCTCTTTGAGTTGTTTTCTGATGGGCGCATAGAGACGCCTCTCCTGCTGCAGTTTAGCGGAATAATCATGGTCCTTCACTCCCTTCTTTCACCTGGTAGATTCTTATATTCAGCTGTCGAGATTTATTTTCCAGATATTCCACTCTGTCTGCTACTTTTGTCTGTTGTTGCAGCAGGTATGTGAGGGTTTCTGTGACGGTGCCTTCTCTAAAACATGCTCTAAAACTTATTGTAGCTCAGTTGTCAGGGACATTACTGGTAGTTGTCTTTAATTATAAAGGTAAATACTCTTCCTACCCAATCAGAAATTAACTGCATTAGTATTTGGTTAAAAAAAGGTAAAAAAATTAAAATGTATATTCATAAGTAGAGACAAAGGAGTTCATATACATACAATAATTTGTTGAATAAAACATGAACTAAACATGTTTACAGCCTGGTACAAAAACAATGATTGTCCTCAGGGACACACACTGTAGGGGGGGGGGGTGAATGTTTGATGACTCATCAGTTTTGATGGATAAGCGTGTAGCTGACTAAATAAAAAAACAGGTTCAACAGAAGGCTGTAAATGGAGCACTAGTTTTCCCTTATTATTGATCACAAAAATGTTAAACTTGACCAAATAGTAAAACAAATCAAAAGCAATTATAGTGTGAGGATGGCTGCCTGGTTCATAAATAAATGCAAGGCAGAAAGTGGTAAAGTTACATATTAGTTTATTGTGGTTAGCTTAGCTTATTTCATTTGGCTAGCTATGCTATTGAGAAACAGGCTTCCATTACACATTACTAGACTAAACCAAGATGAAGGAGAAACAAAAATACCATTCTGTGACAGACAGGTCTGATAGAGGAGCTGAGGCCTCCATTGTCAGGTCTTTTACATTTTTGACAGTTGAGAAGGGAACGTCTCTCCGCGAGTGGGCGTGGCTTCGGCGCATTCCATGGACACGCCCACATCATCCCAGAGGAGACAGAACAGCTACATTTTTCATGATTTTGAAGCTTCATTTTATAAACTTATAGGTCTTTTTCGTTGCTGAAATTTGGCCTGGAGGTTCATAATACATTCTTCTTCTGTATAAAACACTAAAAACTTTTTTTTTTTTTTGTTTACAGGGACTTTAAAGACAGTTTTAGAAAACTATTTTCTGCATCAATATTTTGAAGCAGTGATAGAAGAATTCTTGAGTTTAAAAAAGTGAATAGTGGTGCAGTGCTGGAAAACATGAAGACAGGATTTTAAACTTTTCACATTATGTGATATAGTTATGCATTTACCATAGTTTGTGTTCATTTTTCTGTTATGTTGTTTACCAAGGGAACATTAGCTGGGATTAAAAACTAAGTGTTGGAGCATCGGTGGTCTAGCTGCTCCGCTCCCCATGTAGAGAGGTAGTTGTGCTTGCAGAGGACAGTCTGGGTTAAAGTCAAAGAGTTGTTCAAAATAAGACGGACAGAAATCCATAGACACACAAGAGACACACAATGGGCCTCATTCACTAACAGTGTGTACGCACAAATATGTGCTTAAACTGTGCGTACGAACGTTTGAAGTACAAATCTGGATTCATCAATATATTCTTACTTGAATTTGTTCTTATTCTGCGAACAAACACAGAACCTCCTCAGACCATGCGTACGCACAAATGATTGACAGCTTTCTCAGAAAATGTTAACAAATCTTTCAACTAGTCTAAATGCAAGACATTAAAAATACATTCAGTAAAAAAATATAGCCTTTATAAATATATATAAGAAAGTGTAAAGATCAGCCTTACTGAAACAAATAGCAGCTGTGCCTTCAGAAGAGAGAGCATCAGACCATCAGAACGTTTGAAGAGTGTGATGAATGACTGATCAGCTGATTCTGTCTGCCAATACACGTACTGCTGACACTCTGTAATTCACTGTAACATCATCTAAACCCCCAGACACAACCATCTTTTTCACCTTTTGGTGCCATCTCCTAAAAACTTCTCCGTGTCTCCACCTCTCCGCTCTCGTCCTGATACACCAATCGGATGTCCTTATATGGAGAGATGGGGGCGTGCAGTATGCTGATTGCAGGTTGCGGGCACGCGCCTGTTGATTCAGAATGATTCTGATTCACTAACATACGCCTGGTGGTGAGAACAGAATATGCTGCTACGCACGTGTCATGAATCTGACGGAGATTTTGCGTATGCACTTATTTAATGCGCAGAGTGAGAACATTTCTACACACATATTAGTGAATGAGGCCCAATGAGAGGAGGGAGACAGCAGGACAGACAGAAGTCTTAGAACAACCCTAAATGTTGCATAATATGAGCTTAAAGCTCTTAAGACTAACAAATGGAGTCGAT